ATTAAATGAACTTGTCTGTATAGTATGCTGCCTTGGATTCTTTTGGATAGATACCAAGGAGTGGTAGAGCTAGATCATATGGTAGCAACATGTTTAGTTTTTTGAGCAACCTCCATATGGATTTCCACAGTCACTATACCAATTTACATTCTCTTTTCCCTATACTTATTATTATTTGCAGTTTGATGACTGTTATTCTGAGCAGAGTGAGACGGAATGTCAGTGTAGTTTTCATTTTCATTTTCCCAATGGCTAGAGATGTTAAACATTTTTTCATATTTTTTATCCATTTGTACTTCTTTTGAAAAGTATGTTTAGATCATTAGCCCATTTATTGAGTGGGGTTTTTTTTTTAGTATTGAGGTTTATTTAGTTCTTTATATATTCTAAATACTAATCCTCTATTAAAGAGTAGACAGCAAAGGTTTTTTGTTTTTTTCCATTTTGCAGGTCTTCTCTTTACATTGATAATTGTTTCCATTTTAGTGCAGAAAGTCTTTAGTTTGATGCTATCCCTTTTATATTATTTTATTTGTTTATTTTTTAAAGGACCTTGTTTCATTTATTTATTTTCTGTGGTGCTGAGGATCAAATCCAGTGCTCATGAATGCAAGGCAAGCACTCAACCACTGAGCCACAACCTCAACCCCTATATTATTTTATTTTAATTTAAGTTTACTTTGTTGCTAGCATTTTTTAGTGCTAGGCAGACCTTGGAGCCTCTTACTAACACTAATGAAAGCAATTTAACTAACATTCGTACACGTAATTCAAAGAAAATGTCTCCAGTTTGACTCCACAGACTCTTGAAACTATTATTTGAAGGACCAGGGCCTTTAACTACGAGTTAAATATCCCTCCTCCTGGATAGGTTTCATTTCTGCCCTCAGTGATTGGAGCCCAGCTACACACTGACTTGCTAGCCAGCAGGGAATTTCAAATTCTCTTTTATGTATATCTAGCTGCTTTTAAGGGAAAAAAAAAAAAGGTGTGTGTGTGAAAGTGTGGGATAATTAACAAGAGAATTTGCAATGCTATTTGCATTTATTGATTCTTCATATTATTTCCTGAGTTCTAGGAATCCTGTTGAAGGAGCCAACTGCCTATACCTATGCATTGAAGCATTTCCCCTATGTTCTTTTCTACCAGTTGCAAAGTTTCTGATCTTAGTCCTATGATCTTTAGTCCATTTTAGGGGGTTGACTTTTTATATGGCGTGACATTAGGGTTTAGTTTCAATCTTTTACTGTAAATATACAATGTTCCCCAGGGCCATTTGTTAAAAAGGCTGTCTTTTCTCCAACACAATTTTTGACAACTTTATCAGGAATGAGATGATTGTGGTTGTGGGTTTGACTCTGTGTCGTCTAGTCTGTTCCATTAGTCTCCATGTCTATTTTTATGGTAGTACTGTTTTTGTTACTGCAACTCTGTAGTATAATTGAAGTCAGGTATTGTGATGGATTTAGATTTACTCCTTTTGCCCAGAATTGCTTTGGCTATTCTGGGTCTGTCTTCTTCCATTCTGAGAAGAATACCATTGGTATTTTGATGCGGATTGCATTGAATCCTTGACTTGCTTTTGGTAGTATATCCATTTTAACAACAGTAATACTGCCTATTTAGGAGCACAGAAGGTCTTTTCACCTTCTGGTGTCTTTGATTTTTTTTCAGTATTCTGTAATTTTTCCTTGTAGATGTCTTTCATTTCTTTTTGTCTAGATTTATTCCTGAGTATTTTTTGAAGCTGTTGTAAGTGGAATTATTTCTCTGGTTTCTTCCTCAGCAAATTTATTATCAGTGTATAGAAAAGCTTTTGATTTTTGTATAGTGATTTCGTAGTCTGCTACTTTGATGATTTTTTTTTTAATCAGTTCTAGGACTCTTGTATGCGGGATTGCTCATGACTAAAACACTCAGGAGTCACTCCAGTGGAATGGGGCTAATTGGGCTGCACAAAATAACCATACAAGAGACAGAAATACCTTTTTCTTTTGAGGTTGCTGTGATGACTCCTTTGATCTTAAGGGTCTGCAGGAATTGAGAGAGAGAGAGAGAGAGAGAGAGAGAGAGAGAGCCCGCAAGTGCTGACCCCTTTTATTGAGTAGCAGCTATTCAAAGAGGCAAGGGGCCAGATTTCAGGGGACTGAGTCTAGCTTCATGATGTCTGCTGTCAGCAGGTTGACTGACATCTAGGAAGGGCACAGTAAGATAAAGGGACACACAAAAGGTGTTTCCATGGAACATGCTATCCCAAACAGGACAAGGATTAATATTACAAAGGAACAGGTGAGCACAGCTCCACCCATGGGGCTGTAGCAAGACCTCCCTATGCAGGAGACACCGTCCCTGGAACCCAAGAAGGGTGGGGAAGTCCTGCCTCATTTCTGCTACTTGGACACCTCAAAGCACCCAGCCAGGGAGTGTGACTCAGTCACATGCAAGGTTGATCTCCCACCCTTATAGATCTTAAAGAACTCAGTATAAGATCATATCATCTTCAACTATTTTCTTTCCTATTTGTAGCCTTCATGATGTTGAGGTAAGTTCATTTTATCCCTATAGTTTCTTCAGAGTTTTTATGAGTGAGTGATGAATTTTCTGAAGGCCTTTTCTTCATCTATTGAGAGGATCATGTTGTTTTTGTCCTTGACTTATGTGTCGTACTACATTTATTGATTTCTGTATATTGAAGCATCCTTGCTTCCATGGAATGAAATCAACTTGACCATGTTTTATAGTCTTTTACTGTGTTTATTTGATTTTTTATTATTTGATTAAGAAATTTTGCAACCATGTTCATCAAGCATATTGGTCTGAAGTTTTGTTTTCTTGAAGTATCCTTATCCAGTTTTGTTATTAGGGTGATACTCACTTCACAGAATGAGTTTGGAAATGTCCCACCCCTTCCTATTTCATGGAATAATTTTAGAAGCGTTGGCACTAATTCTTCTTTAAAGTTCTGGTAGAATATAGCTGTGAATTCATCTGTTTCTGGGTTTTTCTTTCATGAGAGAGTTTTAACTGTCACTTCAAACTCATTGCTCGTTATTGGTTTGTTTGTGTTTTCTATATCCTCTTGGTTCAATTTTGCTAGGTTGTATGTGTGTGAAAAGTTATCCATTTCTTTTAGATTTCCCAATTCATTGAAATGTAAGTTTTTTAAAATCATCCTTAATGATCTCCAGATTTTAGGGTTGTCTAGAAATTTTTTAAAAAGCTAAAACTACTCAAATCTCTTGTCCCACATCAGGGAAACTGAACTCCTTAGAACTCCATTTGAAACACCATGCCTTTATAGTATCTATTATTTCCCCCAGTGATAATTTTTTTCTATACTATACTTCAATTGCTGTTTCAAATTTTTATGTTTTTCCAAAACTTTGATATTTTTGGTATCAGCTCAATAATATTACTATCATATGCTCTGAATTATGTATGCATGTGTGTATTGATAGCTATATGCATAAATGTTTTTATGTATATAAAAGTAAGCAGAATTGGCCCTGAAAGTTTTATATTCATATAATTTAGAGGAAATCTATTTTTATTGTAAGCTATAATTGTGAATGTTACATGATAGTGCTCACTGCCTATGGTGACAAAATAATAAGGACAGTAAAAGGTTTGTGTATTGCTTGATTACTTTGTAGCAGTTGTGAAAGCAAATTTCTGTCTGCTAAGAATAGTAATAATGTTGCAAACATCTATTTCCTGGTGTAGTTAAGTTGAAAATGCAGCAGAACAAAATGTTAATACTAAATTCCAAAACCAGAAAGTAAAAACAAAACGAGAGAAAAGAAAAATTAGGGAAAAAATATCATACACGAATTTAGGGACTTCTTTTACTCAATAAATTGCCTTATAATGTGATTTATGGTTTTAAAACAAACTATCACAGTTTACTTGAGCAATTCAATTGCAATTGTATATTTTAAAACTCAGGTTAAATGTCTATATATTCCTTAAAACTTAAGATCTGAGTTTTTATTCTTATAATACTGTAGTGTTTTTAATAACCTTATACTGTTTTAAAATATATACAACTGCATTATTGTTTATTTTACAAATATTCCTATACTTAAAATCACTTTCCTTTCTAATTCCTCCACAAACTACACATTGATGTTTTCCTTCTGAAATCTAATTATCACAATCTAGCACATAATATGGGAGTTTTTCTGGGCCTCCTCAATTCAGCCAAGTCTCTGCCTCAATTCCATTCTCCACCATGACATCATATTAAACCTTCAGCATTGGTATCATTTTTGGGGGGTCAATATGAAGTCAAATAATTTTCACCTTAACTAATGTTTTATTAAATTTCTCTCATGAAAGAAAACTGGGATTGATTTTTTTAACATACATACATAACTTTATATTTGCTTATAAGTTCTATTGGGATAAATTTACATCATTAATCTTATTATTTATTATGTTTAGATGCTTCACACCTTTCTGTCATCTTAAAATATGAAAAGTCACTATATTATCATTCAATAGTTTTAAGGCCCTAAATTTAATTTATTCATACTTGAATCCCTGCAAATAACTCAGATATTTCAGTACTCTAAAAATGTTCCACTCACATATTATTTTTCAAAATGGCATGGCCATCTGAATTATCAACATGTTCTCTCTAAATCTTCACTCTTCAATAAATTAACAATTTCTGAACATGAATGTTTGCAACAGACAACCAAAAAATGAAATGTGGGTTGGCAGACACAATTAGTTTTTAAGATAGCTGTGTCTCTTTCTACTAACCACACCTGTCATTCTAAGGACTAACAACTTCATTTCTGCTCTAGGATGTTAAATATTAATACTGAACTTGAGTAACTATTCTCTTTAAAATTTATATCTCCACCAATTTCTCAAATGAGATAATTCTTGATTACTTGTAGTTTGGAAACTAATCTTTCTCCATCATTCCTCCAAAATTAGAAATAGTGGCTTTGAGATACTGTCTACAAATTCTTTTAGAAATCTTAGAGATAGGGCTCACTTCAGCAGCACATATACTAAAATTGAAATGATACAGAGAAGATTAGCATGGCCCCTACACGAGGATGACACGCAAATTCGTGAAGCACTCCATTTTTTTAATGAGAATTTGGTGTCAACATACTTTATATACAGAGATATGATAAATGGTGGTATAAAGGTGTATTAAGAATTGTATGCAAAAAAATAAGAGAGCTCATGTATAATGGCATAATTTGGTGTGAACATACTTTATATACAGAGTTACAAAAAATCGTGCTGTGAATGGATAATTATGAATGTAATGCACTCCACTATTGTCATGTATGTAAGAAATAAATAAAAAAAGAGAAATCTTAGAGATATAAAACCCAAGGGATTGTTCAAGAATTCAGTGTAAAGGAATAAGTAACTCATAAAATTTGAATTACCCAGAACAAAATTCATAATGAATAGAAATTCCTTGGATTCTAACCAGGAGTCCTGAATTCTGGCATAAGTAAATTCTTCAAATCTAAACAGAATGTTCTATTTGTTTTTAGAAACCTGCATCCAGCTCAAATTCTAGTGTGTATTAGATGTTGTTTAATGTTGACTAAATGCAACATAATTTATATGAATTGGGAGACAACTCAATGAAAACATGTAACTACTCCTTTACTATCTCTTTCTTTTAATGGGACTTAACTCTGTTGCCATATTTCTTTCACTATTGCTGATTGAACATCATTCCCTTTAATTTAAGAAAGCCTAAAAATAAATAGGTGAGTCAATATAACTTTAACTGTTTTCCCTTTTCCATCTGTCATGAAGAGTTGAGAAACTGTATTTTCTCTGTATTTTATATTAAATCATATCCAGAGATTAAGATGGGAAAAACTTCTTAGTGTTAAACAAAAAAGGAATAGATGAATAAGAGTTGAACTTAAATCCAAATACTTTACCAAAAAAATTAATCAAATTGTGACTGCATAGAACGCCTTCATATTTTCCAGCACCTCTTGGACTAATCTTGAAAAATTGTCTTTCTTTTTCAGTGTAATAGAATCTGCAAGCACTCAGGACTTGGGTTTATTAAAGTGGAATGCTTGTAGGCTACAGTTCAAAAGCGAATCTGAGAATTTAAAGCTAATACATGATATGCTAAGTATCATGATATGTCAAGTGTAATACTCTATGCAAATTTTCCTAATAGCATTGCAGAACTCCCCAGATATGATTGAAAATGTGTCCAGCACTGCAGTAGGCAAGAGAGATAAAATGATGAAGACTCAGCTTTGGGACTTGACCTGTGTCCAACTAGGGAGGAAGCATCAGCAAAATTAAGATGAATGTACCATGAACACAGTGATGGTTGATGTGCCACAGATTCTCAGAAAGAAGTGAATTAATTGTAACAAAGAGTACTGTAGACAAATGGAGAGTGGAAGAAAATATTGAGCTGGGTTTTTACTGAAGAGTGAAAGGTGACCAACATGAAGTATGAAGAAGATACTTTCTAAATTGAAGGAAAATCAAGACAAAATAATGGTCTAAAGCGAGTCTGGGAGTTTTATGTGTTTAGGTGACTGGGAGAAAGTTATTTGAAATGAGACCATAATGGTGGACTTAAGTGATATTATAAAGTCTCTAATCTTCATTAGAGTATTTTTTTAACTTTATGAACAAAAGAAATTCATAGCATATTGTTAAGCAGTGAAATGATAATAACATACAGCATGCCATCCTAGTTCATTCTTACTACTATAACAAAATACCACATAAAGGGTAATTTAGAAATAATAGAAACTTGTTTTTTCCTTTCTGGAAATTGGGAAATCCACAGTGAAGGTGTGGATGGATTCAGAGTCCAGTAAGAACTGGTTTTCTTTGCTTCAAAGAGAGTTCCTTCTTGTTGTGCCTTCACAAACAGGTGGGAGGTGGCACTCTTCTCCATTCACCAGGACAGAGTTTTCATGATTAGTCATGTCCCAAAGGCTTAATAATAAATACAGTCACCCTGGAGTTTAAATTCCAACATATGTATTTTGGAGAGATACTTACATTGAAATCATAGCAAATGCTTTCTTTAAAAATTTCATTAACTCTTACTTTAAACATTCCCTTTAGGAAAGGAACTGAATTAATGTGATAAGGAAGAAAAAGAAAGCATTGGATATTTTCTAATTTTCTTTCAGACTAGATAACTTGGTAGGACAAAGTTCCAAAATCAACTGCTAGAGAAAGCAAGAAGTACATTTGATTTCAGAAAGAACTTGAACTTAGCTTGATCCAAAGTTTGAAGTGATCCAGGGAGTTGGAAAAGTGAAAGTTCCTGAAAGCCAAGTTGCTGATTACCAGCCTCAGTAGAATAGAACTGGGGTGGTGGGGAGAGTGTTAGAGAGTGAGGGACAAGGAAAACTTGGTCTTAAAGAAGTTTACAGGGAGGAATCTATTTTCTATTGGAATCATTAAGTCAGTCAACAGTAAGTTCAAAAGAGATGAGAAGGAGCATTGAATATTCATGACACTAAAAAATAACCAGAATTCCACAGGTTGTCACATTGTCTTTTACACTTTCAGATCCAGAAAATGGTATAAGTATCCTGAGCCTACCCTAAAGAGTCTGTGTGTTGTGTGTGTGTGTAGACAATTTGACAAAAATTTTTAAATGATGATACACCACAATGAAGTTGTCTCATAGATTTATAATTGAGACAAACTACCCATTTAATTTGATAGTTAATTATTAAAGACTAAGGTGAGACAAATGAATTAAAGTACCTTGCCCTTAAGGAGATATCAGTCTAGGAAGAAAAACAGATAGGCAGAGTAAATAGAGTCTAAATCTAACAATTAATGAAAGATTATGCTGGCGTTCATAATTTACATTCGTGTTTAAGATTTAGGCACTAGGACCTTAGATGCATGCATTTATCAATTACGTTCTGTTCACTACCGTGTTTTGAGGCCTGGAAGAGTCCCTAGTTTAGAGTATGCCTTTAATATAAATTTGTCCTAACATATCATGATATAAGAATTATGGTGAAAATTTCAAAACTTAAAAAACTAATACTAAAAACATTAAGTAATTTGCTCAGAGTATGTTGGATAGGGAATGCCAGAGTTAGGAATCCAAGGCTAAGAAACTTGTATGAGATTTCCTACTTTATTCAGACATTTGCCTTTTAGATATCATTCTCATATGAACACTTAGAAACTGAAATGTGGAAAAGAACAAGGTGTGGTCTTTACTTGCTGTGGGTCAATTTGTATGGCTGTAATAGAGGAAAGCACTAATTGTTATTCAATCCACCTAAAATGCCAATGCCCTTAAAAATAGAGCTATTAGTAATGCAAAGATGAAGCCCCCAGGATTGCAAAAATCCTGCTTAACCAAACAGCAAGTCTCCTGCGGCATAGTTGCTTCCAAGACTGACTTGGCTGTTCTCCATTTTTGTACAAACAGCCAAGCCCAGGAACCTCTGCACAGTTAGACAGAATGTAGCTTCTGACCATGATTCTGCAATCAGGCATTATTAGAATGGATCCAAATGCCCCATTTTTCAGAGACTCTGATTACTACATATGGAGTCATAGTTGATCATCTGGATGGACTTTAAAACCGGATCTGGACTAGCCCTAAAAAGATAAAGTTCAATCATTTCTTTACATCAGAAACACAAAGAACCAGATATATTGGTAGAAGAGAATCATCCCTTCTGGCTGAACAAGATGAAAAGTATATTTTCTTGAAATGGATGTTTTCCAGGGCTCAGAAACATTTGGTCAGCATTTCTGGAAATCTATAGGAAACAAGTTAAATTTATGCTCCATGAAAAGTCTCATATTACAAAATGAGTTATAAATTAAATCAAAAAAAGCAATCACATATTGTCATCTCCCTTTCTCTTTTTCTCTCATTTATTTGTTTTATTAATATCCTCTTATTTTTAATGGCATATGGACTATTTGTATAATACATCTTTCTATGATAAACATTGATTTTTGAAGAAAGAAAAATCAAGTTAAATAAATGGTACAAGCAATAACATTCTTCTTGTTTATAATGTACAGTCATAGATATATTGTTTCTAAAAATTGATATAAATAGGAATGAGGAATGTCTTAGTTTTCATATTGGTCCAAGAGTCTTATTCTTATTGCCAGAATTAAAATTTCAAGGCTCATCCAAGACTTAAAAAGCAAAACTCAATGAAGAATACATATAAAAAACAAATGTAGTGATAATTTCATAGTTAATAATTTAATGCTTTATAAAACACTAAAATGTATCATTCATCTTCCTTTGATTATTAAATGGCATCAAGTGAGGTAAGGGATGTTACATAGGTCGTCATCCCCTAGCCCAGGAGTCAGAAGCTCTTTTTACAGAATCAGGCAGTAAATATTTTAGGTTTGGGCACATGTATATTCTCTGTGGTATATTCTTATTTTTCTTTAAAAAAGAAAAGATCTCATGAAATACCAAAACTATTCTTAGCTCATAAGCTCACAACTAGTGACCTGATGTTCTTTGCCAACTCCTGCTTTTGTGTTCCAGTTTTCTCTTCACAACACAAATATCTCAACCAACCATTGACTGTTGCTCTTAATTTGTTCATGTGGAGAAAGAAATGTTTTCTTCGAGGTGAGAAAAAAGACAAAACTTGCAAAATTTAGTGCTTGTTTGTTTGTTTTACAAAGGACTGCACAAAGGTTTGTATGTTCACAAATATGGACAATTTCAGGTCCTGCTCCATGCCAGCAAAATGCTTTAGCATTTACCCTCTGCAATCTCAGAGAGTGAACTCTCAGCTGTATGAAGACACATTCCTAATGACACATGCAAATAAAGGTCCAGTTTTATAGTGAACTCTGAGTGTGTGGATGCAGGAAGTCCTAGTGTCAATCTGTCCTTTCACTTGCTAAATGATCACTAAGTGTTTGCATATCTCAAGCATCACTCTGAGGCCCAGGAAATTCAGGAGAGACCATACTTGAATGCCCTTGCCCAGGTAGGTTATCCTTTTAAACCTAGGAAAAGACAGAAAATAAGCCTTTGCGAAATGGAAAAAAATGAGAGAGCCATATGATGGTGAGTAACAATGTCTGGGGGTGAAAGTCAACTGCTTTTTAAAA